CAAGGAGCAGACTTCTTTTCCAGGTAGTGAGAACTTCCTCAAGCTTATTTTTCCACTTTTCAAGTTTCTAACACCATTAGCTGACTCCCTCGTGGTCTTGAAAGTGGTAGTACTGATTGAATTAAGCTGTTCCCTTCTTTGAGACATTTTGACAAGCTTCCTTATAAAGAACTCAGTCAGTGCCACGACTATTCAGACCCACAGCAATATGGACTCACAGCATTCAGATGTACACAAATATATGTGTATGCACATATCCAGATGGGAGTATGTGATTCACAGGTAAAAAGTAAATCTGTCGAACCATCTGAAATAGAAATCTGCTGACCAGAATCTGTCAATGGGATATAAACCAAATACATTCTTAGATGCTGCTGTGTAAAGCCATTTACACCATTCTATATTAATCAGTTTAACTGGTCTTTTTTTACACTCTTGGTTTTAAAAATAGGACAAATGGTCTTTTAAAATCGCCGGGGGAGGAGTTTAATCTTATTGAATGGAGCCGTAGCCAGACGTTTAGCTCCTCACAGTGTAGAATACAAGATTATACCAGCCTGATATAGCCCTTCCACCACCCGTTTATTTTTATCCTCTATTAAGGCAGCGATATCCTTAAAGGCTGCCAAAATTATCCTGTAAAAATGCTGACTGGTAAATATGAAAGGTTCCAGGCGGGTCTAGTAAGCAATCTGTGCGCATGGTGGAGCAATGTGACTGCTGTGCTTGCTATACCAACAGGGGTGACCCCAGTTGGTTGGAGAGGTGAGACTAAATGAAAGTCATCCCTGGATCTTAGGGGAGCCAAGTCTGGAATATTATGGCTCCCTTCAGTATGAGATGCAACGCTTGGCATGCATTTTTATTTTTGTCATTTTTAATGAAGTGATTTTTCAGAAGCTAAAATGCTATAAATAAATAAAAAGAATCATGTTTCGTCATGATTTGTACGTGACTGACTCGCTTCCTCAGTATTTTGATCATCTCCTCACCCATGGAGCAAACACATGCAGAAACATTCACCTGAATTTTAGGAAAACATACTGATTTCCTTATCAAATACACCATAAACTTCTTCAAGCAGAAAGTTTTTTTCCCCAAACTTAACTCTTCCTCAGAGTGAAAATGGTAACAGACGATTCAGTTCATCTGTACGTCTACTGAGTCCTGATGGCTCTGAAGTCAGATGTTAAAAGTGCGATGTAATCGTTGGCATATCTGGACGTTGTACACGCCTTATTTTTAATCATAAATAAATATACTTTCATAAAGCCTTATTTGAGTAGTCACATCAGTCAGTTTGTCAAGCAGATGCTGAGAGCATCCGTGTAAAGTTACCCTCTTCTGTCGTATCTGCAGGGTCCACACGCAGAAAGCCTGCTATGTACGCACTACCGCCATCCAGCTCTAAACAGCTGACGCCACGAGGGCCCTTTTTGCCAGCTGCCATATTGGAATGAACTTGAGATGAATGTATTGATCCTGTTCTTGGATGGCAATGACAGCACCTGGCTTTGCTTTAAAGGTGACTCCACCCAGACCCCTTGCGTGTTACACGGTTGATGTGGAGGAACTGCGGAGGATTTGACTGGTGTTCAAGGAGCTATTTAAAGTTAGAGCATGGGGTACAATTGATTTTGTTTATATTTGATGTGATCAAGCAGAGCAGAGGCCGTTAGCTGTTGCTGGAATCACAATAATAGCTTTTAGTGGGGAAACGCAGGTTAGAGAAATGCCCTTAAGATAATTTATGCCATTTGGTGATTACCTTCAACCAAAGTGACTTTTTGTGAACGAAAACGTTCTCCTAATGAACAGTGCACAGAGAGCAGTTCTGATGGTGTTGGCGGAGCAATTCTTCTAGAAGTAAAGAAAATAACTACTTAAGTATTCTTTTTCTGTACAGCAATGCTTGAATAGAGGTAACTAGTTTAATTATCAGCATATCATCCTGTGTGACTATAACTAGCACGCAGTATGAAAACATTAATTTTTAGGGCTATCAGGCTGTGACAAAATAAAATAACAAAGAAACTTAAAAACTAGTCAAATAGCATAAATTCACATAAAATGTCACTCCATGCTCAGCCTGTTGCTTCGTATCAGCTGGATCGCCTACGATGTCATAAATGACCAAATAGAAAGCGACCACACAGATGTGTAATTCCGTGTTGCAGAGTGACAGGAAAAAATATGTCCATTCACAATACAACTGGTCCCGGCAGGCATTCCTTTCCGTCATTGTGTGAGTCCGGCTCTCTCAATCAAGATATCTCAGCCCTGCCACAAGCCTCTGATTAACACCACCGCTCTTGTAGATTTGTTTTAAGTCTCCTCGGTTAAATGAGAAATTAAGAGGCAAGAGATAGAGGCTAATAGCATTTATTAACCCAGCGTGAGCTTGCAGCACTCCTCCACCAGCCCCGTCTCGTCCTGGCGGCTTCGCCAGCGTGGTCGAGAGAGGGGAGTGGAACATAACAAAAGCCAACAAATGCACCCAGCTGATTAATGGAGCCCTGTGGCTACAGCAATTATCCCTCTCCACACTCCGCCAGCAGATGAGCCAAACAAGTCTGCTGCAGCGTGAGGGAGATGTGCAAGTGACGGATTTGTGGCATTCTTGTTTGGTGAGCTGCATGTAGGTAGTTGGATAAAACAGCAGTCTAACGTCATTTTATTTATTTTTTAATTACTTTCTAATTAGACTCCTTACGGCTTGATTTTACTCCATTTTTTTTTATTCTTTTTTGAACTGTGGGTAAAAGTATTGTAGTAGTAATTTACTAAAAGTCCGGTTGCGAGAGCACAAATGAAAGTAAGGAAGCTGTTTGGGTTCTTTTCTTATCATTGTGTTTTCTACTTCCTTCGTTTTATAAGCTATTACATCCAGATGGGAGAAACGGTTGAGTTATATCCGTGAATTTACTTGTTCTTGTAGTTGCTGATAGCTGTTGCAGTTGTCACAGAGTGAATCTACAGCTAACAGTCAGGAACAGAGACTGCCGAGCCACACAGTGTTTTTAAAGAGGTCAGCAGGACACACTTAAAAAAGCACTTTGCTCATGAATAAGGAATTTAATTACATATAAGCAGTGTGGCAGGGCGACGTGGCCCGCAGCCCAACACAATATCTAATTACTATTTATTGACACATAATGATTGGTTCTTGCTTCACTTTTCAGCTACACGCTGATGATTACACTGGCAGTTAAATGTCAGTATTTAGATTTCTGAGATTTATTATTTACATACAACAGTTTTATTAGAAGAGTAAAGTACGTAAGTCGAAATCTGTTGTTCAACTATTTTACGCCTAATTCCATCTGGATTCAGCATGAACAGGAAACTTTGAAAAAATGGAAAGAAGAATAAAAAACTTGATCAAATGAGTAAAAACTGAAAACAGTGTGGTTGCTGCCCGGGCTGAAAAAAAAACAACAAAATCTGTTTTTACTTAAATACAGACTTGATGATTGGATTTCTGTTTCTTCATTTGGCGAGAGCACGTTGGTGGGATTACAGGCTCAATAGATTTACTGTCAGATGCCTGTCTCCCCACCCTATGGAAATAGGCTTGCTGAGGGGGAATGGGACAGATGAAGCTCAATTTGTACGTATTGCACAATTCAGAAGACTAACAAGACAAAAATTAAGCAAGTTTTGAAAATATTTAAGCTCAATCCACCGTAACAAATTAAACTCAGCTTTTAAAAATTTGGTCATCAGATACTTTCCCATGCATAAGATGTAGCATAGAATATAATCTAGTAAACGGAAGGGAAATGGCTCCCCATGTACAAAGACTGTCTGTCAACCCAGTTTAGACCTGCTCCGCTGTCCAGCTCTGATGCAGAATCATACATGTCATCTGGACATTAGTTCTTTTTCTGCCTTTTTCTCCGCCTCATTAAAAACATAAACACATCTCCTTTATTGATTATGTCTGGATGTCTTAATCAGATCAGCAGGATTATCCTGCTTTTCCTTTGCAGGAAAGTACATTAAATGCCAAAATATTGATCAAAACTGTAATTGAGAATGCACAGCTCCTCATTAAAGTAATCGCCCTTTGGTCCTATGACTCTGATATGGAGTGACATGAAAAGAAAACGTTCATATTTATAATTCCTTTTTATTTAAAAGACGACAGGGAAACAGAGTCTGTCCTGAGGCTTCTGGCGACACAGCAACGCTGTGATCAATAAGAGCGTGTGATGGGTTTTGCATCGATCAGGAAAATGTGGGTTGATGAAGTGGGTTGGAGGGTGGCTGGCGGGGTGTCGGGGATTTTCCTCTAATGGCTGCCACATTTCACAGACGTTGCAAAGATCCACTCAAACTTCTCTGTTGTTGTCATCATTATTAGCGCTCCTGCTGAGGTCATTATCACTCTTTGGTTTCTTGCATCCTGCCTCAATCAGGATTGGTTGATCCCTTCACTTCACAGCGTGATTGGTGAAGTGCTGTGGGATGCAGCTGTCATTACTTAAAAGAAGGGCAGGCTGCGGAAATGCCAGATCCACGGTGGAGAGGATAAAAGACTAAAGGGAACAGTTTAGCTCCATAAGCTGGCACTGAGCCCTTTAAAGCACCAAAAACAGACCTAGAAATCACCCTCAGTAAACGTACTGCCAGTTCTGCTTTCCACGTCTGTTTACCTCTGCAGTGTGTTAAAACAGCCCATGTCTCTTTGTTTTTCTGTTTGTCTGTCTATCTATCTATCTATCTATCTATCTATCTATCTATCTATCTATCT